GTGGGAGAGGCTATGGGAGTCCAGGGGAGCATGGGGGAATACGGGGGAGCATGGAGGAGGCTGGGGGAGCACAGAGAGGTGGAGCACAGGGGAGCACGGGGGAGGCCAGGGGAGCAAGAGGAGGCCAGGGGAGCACAGGGAGGTGGAGCACAGGGAAGCACGGGGAGGCCGGGGGAGCACGGGGGAGGCCTAGCAAGCACTGGGGAGCATGGGGAGCACGGGGGAGGCTGGGCAGGCACATATCTGGCCAAGCATGGGGGAATACGGGGGAGCACGGGGGAGGCCAGGCAAACACAGGGGAGCATGGGGGAGCACAGGGGAGGCTAGGCAGGCACATATCTGGCCAAGCGGCCTAGGCTACACTCTATGGAATGGGGAAGGGACTGAGCTGAGTCGGGACTCGGCCAGAGGGGACACACGGGTCTGTGGTCACAGACACCTGGACCAGGTACGAGGCTGCAGCGCCCCAGCAGCAAGCCAAGAAGAGCCGTGAGGGACGGGCACGCCCTGCCCAGCCCCTTGGTGACTGAGGAAGAGGCTCAGCCTTTTGCCAGCAGACTGGGCAGGACCAGGACCCAACTGGCTGCATTCCAGGCAAGGGCTTAGTCAGCCGGGCTGCACAGGTGGGCACCAGCAAGCTCTTCTGACCTGGCCTTGGGGAGCCGCTGCGGCGGCCACCTGCTGCATTCCGGACACAGCCCCAGGGTGTGCCCCCAAGAGCAGCTCTAGGGAGCAGGTCTGGTATCCTGTGTTGCTGGCAGGCCACTTTGCACATGGGGATGAGGGGGTGCATGGCACTGAGGGCTGGGGAGCACAGAAGCACCGAGCTCCGTGTGCGGGGCGGGGAGCAGGGCTCTGAGTGTGGGGCTTGGGTTGCCAGGGTGCGGGAGGAGCCCACCTGGAGAGCCGGCTTCCTGTGAGGGAGAGTGCAGGGAAGATCAGAGGCAGGAGAGGACCCAGAGACCCCCTGTCAGAATGAAGGTCAGAGGCAGCAGTGGGGGGGTCCACGTGGACCCTGTGGGCCCCACGGGAGGGATGCAGAGGCTCTGGTCCGGGGTGCCTCGTCTGCAGAGCTTGACTGCCCTTGGAGTCCTGGGCCCATGCAGAGTTCATTGGGGGTGGGGGGTGTAAGGGTCTCTTCCCTGAGGTCTCGCTGTGCCCCGAACCCCCGCCTCGGCCTCCGGAGCACCTGGGCCCATGGTGTCCCCTCGCTCCCTGCTCCCCATTTCACAGAGGAGAGGACAAGGGCTGGTTTCAGCACTGTTCCATTTTTCTGTCGGAGGGCGAGCACGCTCACGGTGGGGACAGGAGGACACGGCCTCCAGTGGGGCACGGGCACACTACGACCCCTCCCTGGCCCTTCGTCAGGGCATGTGGCGGACACACCTGCACCTGACATGCCTTTCAAGCCACCGCTTGGGACTCGGACTGAGCAGTCGGCCTGCCCAGCCCCTCACCACCCGGCCAGCCTGGCCCTCGGCCGTCTTTCTGTTCTTTCTTTTTTTGTTACCTTTCTTTTCTAAGATGCACAGGGACAAAGGTTAAGTGGCTTCTGGGGTGGGCTGGGGGCTGACCTGGGCCCCATGTGGCCTCAGCCTGTGTCCAGGGCATGGCCAGGGCCTTATTAGCGGAGCAGCATGGAGCTGAACAGGAAGTAATCCTAAATTCGAGCCCTTACAGCTTGCTTCAGTTGTGTGTGAGTGTGTGTGTCCTGAGGCTCGACAAAAACTGACTTTTCCTGATCGAAATGGTACCAGGACCCTGCTCTGCCACGGAGGGGGCCCTCGAAGGTGTGGGCCTGGAGTGGAGGGCTCCGCCGGAGCGGGAGGCAGTGCAGAGCCCGGGGGCCAGCAGAGGCTGGCAGCTCTCATGCAGTGGGCATTGAGCTGGGAGTCGGGGTGGCCCCATTGCTGGAGGGGACGTGCAGGGCCACCAGTGGGGTGGAGGGGTGCGTCTGCCTCCCGGAGACAATGTGCACCTTGAGCAGGAGCCTCCCCCGAGCTCTCCCAGGAGCGCGAGGACAGCTTTCCCACTGCTCCCCGGTGCCCGGGCCCCTCACATTCCGACGTGAGAGCACGCTGCAGCGGGGGACACGGGGCCCCGATGACAGCCCCTCTGCCCGTTCCCTCCCTGCCTCCCAGTGTTCGTCAGCCGGGAGCACGCCAACACCGTCCTGCAGAGGGCCAGGAGAGCCAACTCCTTTCTGGAAGAGGTGAAGCAAGGAAACCTTGAGCGGGAGTGCAGGGAGGAGACTTGCTCATACGAAGAGGCCCGGGAAGTCTTCGAGGACGTCGTCCAGACGGTAGGTGTTGGGGACACGGGACACAGGTCCACACGGCACCCTGCACAGGCCGGCCATCGCAGGCTGACTCCATAGGCCACGGCGGCCCACCAACGTGGCCCTCCCTCCGTCTGCCTGAGAGGGGAGGCCAGGTTGCCTGGGACGCGGCACACACGGGGCTGTCCAGGCCAGGGCGGCCATTCTTGTCCATCAGACTAGGCGAAGTGGAGGCAGAGAGCATAGCAGAAGCCCCGAGCTAGTGTGGGCGGCCCGGCGGGAACAGACCCCAGTCGCCTGGAACCGTCCGTCAGAACAGCCTCCGAGCCTCCGAGGTTGCAGGAAGGGGTGCCCTATGGAGTGTGCTACCTCGCCCAGCAGCACGGTTCTGTGGGGTCCACCAGAAAGTCGTGACATAATGCGTGCAAAAATGTGTCGTGACTTCTCCACCGTCCCAACACCACATCCTGCGCCGAGCAGCCCATGAACGCCACTGCAGGGGTCCCCGCGCTCGCCCCAAACCTGACCTGCAGGCTTAATTTCACTCAGACAAGACGGCGGCAGCCAGGGACAATCTGATCTAAAATGTGCCTGGAAAGAGAAAGGGACTAGAGGGTCAAAGCAATGTGAGAAGGGGAGGAACAGCGGGAGAATCAGCCACCTCATCGTGAGGCCACCGCAAAGACGCGGCAGAGACCCTGGCGGGACGCACACCTCGGCAAGCCGGAAGGACTGACAGCACGGCCAGCCGATCGATGAGCGGGCGCGGAGACGATTCCACGCAGCAAGAATGATCTTTCGGCAGTGGTGTTCGTCCAGACATTCTTGCCGCTCCAGGAGCTCAGACGGGGACTTGCTATCGCTCACAGGACGGAGGACGCAAGTCCACAGACAGGCCAGCAGGTCCCTGCTTCCCAGATGGGACCTTACTGCGCCCTTGCATGGTGGAGGAGGAAGACGAGAGCTGCGAACGCTGGCTGAGGCTCCTTCACGAGGGCAGGAGTCCCGCTCGTGAGGGCCAAGCCCTGCTGGCCGCAGCACCACCGAGGGCCCGCTGCGTGCTACGGCACAGGGTCACGGGTGCGTGGGGACGTGCATATTCACGTGCCAACCTCACAGCCGTACAAAACACAAGGCGGGTCGTGGGTCTAAAGGTGAAATATAAACTATAGACCGCAACGCAGAAGATACATGGGAGTCAAGCCAAAACATCGTTGAATTGTTACCCAAACAATGGTGCGTAAGAGGAGAGAATTGACCAGCTGGACTTCAAAACTGAAAACGTTTGCTCTACAAAGAACACTGTTAGAGATGAACAAAGTCACTGCGCCGGCCAGTGGCACGCGGTTCAGGCAGCTGGGGCCCGTGCCGGAGGTGTAGCTCGAGCCCCAGACCTGCTGACTTAAACACTCAGGGTGCGGCTCCTGAGCGCCCAGAATCCCAGGAGGGGAAGAAGCCGCACAGCCATCCCCTGGGGTGCTTTCGTGCTCTCTCGCCTTTTCTCTGGAGAACACAGGTGCCATGGCAAAGAGGGCCAGCAGGTGACCGTGGTTAAGGCTCTGGACCCCCCAGGGCTGACCCCAGTTTGAGTTCCAGACCTGGTGTCTTGGAAAACACGCCGAGAACTTGTATGTGCAAGCTCAAAATCCCAGGAAGAGAATGGAGAAGAGGGGTTGTGGCATGGCCGTCTCCATGGGGTGACTTCTCATCTTCCCTCTCTCTCTGACAAGCACATGCGCCCTACGGCGGGAAACACCTTAAACAAAATGGAGCCCCCTGGCTAAGAGAATATTCGCGAATCACATATCCCACGAAGGAGCTGTATCAGAACTTATACACAACATTTACAGCTTGAAAAAATAAAATACGCCCCAATTAAACTGCTTTGCCACTTGGCGAGTCAGAGGTGAGCAGATGCCCAACGCCTTGTCCCTCAGAAATGTGGGTCAGAACTACTCGTGGGTCCCACAGACCTGCAGGACAGGGCCATAGACAGGGAGCGCTGGCAGGGTCTCAGAGCAGCCAGGCTTCCCAGTGTCTGTGGGAATGCAGAGGACACAACCGCTTGGAAGGACAGTGTGACGTCCCCATGAGGTTACCTGAAGTTGTACCAGGACCCAGCACCCCCTCCCCGAGAGCCACCCGGAGTGAAAACGTGCTTCCACACCAAGGCCTGAGCATAAGTGTGCGCTGAAGCCGTCTGTAACCTGCTCACACCAGGAATGACACCGACATGCATGCGGGTGGCTGGTGAGCGGCGCGGCATGGCTGCACGGCGAGGCCGCGGCGGGCTGGCCAGCGTCTGGAGGCAGGGCTCGCCTCGCTGGCCCCACTGGTCTGCGGCCTCCGAAGTTCAGTCCCGTACTCCAGTAGTGGCGGTGATGGTTACGCACAACTACGCCGGGCTCAGGACGCACAGAATGTACCCAGGAGAGTCGGTTCACTCTGTGGACACCTTTTTCTTCTTTTCACAGAGGTTTTTGCCTTAGGGCAGGCACGCTTGCCCAGGCAAGTCAGAGACCGTGAGAAATCACCCCCCGGGGGATGGCCGCTCTGCAGTCTCTTCCCCTTCATTCCTCTCCCAGGATCTTAGGCACACACGCGGCCAGTGTGATTTTTCAGCCGCCGAGTCCAGGACTTAGCCGCGGTCGGCCACGTGGGAGTCCAGCGATGTGTTCTACCACCTGCTGGGCTCTGTGTGGACACTCTCTAAGCGGAAGCTCCCAAGGGCAGTGGCTGTGTCTGCAGCTGCCAGGACAGAGCGCCACAGGTTAGGTGCCTTAGAACGCCAGACACTCATCCTCCCTCCGTCTGGGAGACAAGAAAGACTGAACAAGGTGACGCAGGGCAGTCCGTCCTGGAGGGCCCAGGCCTCACCCAGCTGGTCGGACGAGCTAGCGTGGGGCACAGGCACTCGCTGTGTCCCCAGCTCACGAGTGCATGCAGCCAGCTGTCCACAGGGCTGTCTGCCCCGTCTACTACAGGGAAGCGGGACTCGTGACAATCCAGTGTCCCCGATGGGGACACCGCAGAGACTCTGCGTCCAGCTGCGATGGCACCGGGGTCCCTGGGCCTGAGTGGGGACGGTCGAGCAGTGCACTATCCCACCCACGGACAACGAGCGGGTCTGAGCCGCAGACGCTTCCTGGTGTGGTGCAGGCGGTTAAGGGTTGTTTGGATTAACTAGCAATTGTTACCTCCTCCAACTAACTGCTGACAAGCTGACCCTAAATTCGTAGCCCAGATGCATTAACTAGAGACTATGTATGGGCCAGCAAGTGGCTAACGCACTGGATCCCAGATGGTCAATGGCACGGTTCGAGTCCTGGCCTGGGCAGCTTGAAAACTGTGTATGAGTGCGTGCGTGCCCAATCCTGAGAGGAGAGTGGAGACGGGATTGCAGCTTGGCCATTCCCCCTGGGGTGCTTTCTCACCCCCACTCTCTCTGTGGTGAGCACATATGCCCTGGAGCAGAACAAGAAAGCCACTTACTGGCCTGCTAGGGAGGAGCACATGCTGTCATCGGCACGGTCCACTTGTGGTGGTTAACCCGCAAAATCAAAGCCAGTGCTGGAGGAGGTTACGGCCGCCGGAGCCACACCCGCAGACACAGTGTGCCTCTCCGACTGCGTGGCCTGCTGGCTCGGGGGGATCACGAGTGCTCTTCCCGCTTTCCTACACAGAAATGTGCATGGCTCCCCGGCGGCCCGGTAGGACCACCCGTGTCTCACCGCGCCTCTGCGGTGAGGCCCGCCCGGGCGAGGCGTGGCTGGGACTGAGACAAAACGGCTCTCTGTCCTAACGTGTTTCAAACCTCTCTTTCCTTTTAGAATGAATTCTGGAATAAATACAAAGGTAGGGTGCTTTCGACTTTACCCTGAGCTTACAGGGCTTCTCAGGTGGTTGATGTCCTTGGCTTTGGGAGCACTTCCGCTTGCTGAGCCTCCTTTCTGCTTCAGTCTGACTCGGGTAAGACTCTCACCGGGTGTTTCCACAGTAGTTACTGCGAGGTGGTTTGGATCGTTTACAGTTTTGTTACTCACTAAATACAGATGTGAGTGGGTTCCTCTCATTCGAGAATACCGACTTCCTCGGAGACTCTGAAAAACGCAGGTGTCAGGCAGAAGCAGGACGCAGGGTCTGCAGCCCAGGTGCCTGGCGAGGCGTGTGTGCCGTGTGTACGACGGGCGATGTCGCCACTGCCGGCTCGGAATGGCGACGGCCTCTCTGCACACGCCCCGTGAGGGCCGCGGAGCCCGTGTGGACGCAGGACAGCAGCCTGCCTGCCCACGGCCCAGACCATGTGGAAGGAGGCCGACACCCTCTGTCAGTGCCCAGCTCCCTCCCCTGCAGCCTCCTGGGGTCCCTCCCAAGGTCCTCGCTCTGGGCGTAAGCACAAGAGCAGGGAGCCTGTGGCCGACCTGGCAGGTCAGGGCATTGTGGGCCACGACCACTGAAGGTGGGGTGCGGTGAGCCCTGGTGGGAGGGGCTGCCCACAGGATGCGTGCCGAGGTCACCCCAGCCGTGTCCGTGTGACGGGGCCCCCAGTTTGATTCCCTAACACCCTTTGCAGACGGCGACCAGTGCGAGGACAGCCCCTGCCTGAACCAGGGCAGCTGCCGGGACGGCCTTGGGGAGTACACGTGCACCTGTCCAGACGGCTTCGAAGGCAGGAACTGCGAGCTGTGTAGGTGCCCGCGCCTGCCGGCCCAGCCCGTTCCCCGGAGAGAAGGCGGGAGGGGCTGAGCGGCCAGTGAGGTGGTCTCGCCTCTAGCCCACAAGGTCTGTGCCCCGACTCCCTGTGGGCCCACCACCCACCACAGACGAGACACCCGGTGTTGGGATGCGACAAGAGACAGTCTGTAGCCCCCGGGAAAGACCACGGCGCCTCCGTGGACACTAATGTGTCAGAGAATGCCCTGCTTCCTGGACGTGGCTTCTTCACTCTGACCCCGTGCCTGTGACCTCGGGCAACAACTGCTGTCCCTGCTGTGGTTGGCGTTTGTCCACGAGGACAGTTCAAGGCTGCCCTCAGGAAATTCGCACTGACTCTCCATGCCAGAATGGCTGCGCACGCTCTCGAACATGGCGGCTGCCTTGTAGAGAAAGCCAGGTTCCCACAGACAGGCTCCCTGGGAGAAGAGTCGCAAGGCCTGCAGTGAGTGCGTAGCCCCGGAGCAGAGGGCCTGGAGCCCGTGCGCCACACGCAGCACGCCACAGAAGCAGGCTGTGTGCAGGCGCGGCGTGGAGGTTCCAGGGCCACCAGCATGTTTCTGAAAGAGCCCCATGCTGGTGCCTGGCTGGCTCCATGCAGACCCTGGTGCAGGCAGCTGCCGCCCCCTGGGAAGCTGGAGGCAGGCGGTGGCTCTGCTGGAAGGTACCCAGGTCCATGCAGGGACCCACTTGCAGGTCACGCTGAGTGTCCCAGGACCTGGGAGGGGCCCTGGGGACTAGAAAGCTAAGACTGTGTATTCAGATGACCCGCCAAAGCCTCATGGCCAGGGATCGGGCAGCCTGGGGCCTGGGGCCCGTGCCCAGCCGCTGCTGCCCCTCTTGCCCGCCCCGCAGCCTCCTGCGACAGCCTAGCACTGTGCCTACTGAGTTCAGAGAACAGCGAGTTCCCGCAGGGCCCTGGTCAGCCACTGCCGGGGGTGCCCTCTAGTGTCAGGGTGAGTGGGCTGCAAGGAGCTGGTGAAGTTGCCCGCAAGGCGGGCGAGAGGGTGCAGCTGGGACACAGCAGGACTGTCAGCACCACCGGCACAGGACGCTCGCTTGCCAGGGTGCAGCTCCATGGAGCAGCCACCAGGCCTGCCTGGCTCTGCTGGTGGCAGCTCTGCACAGGGGAGGGCCCCACCCCACCACCCTCCCTCGCTGTCCCTGTCAGGACATCATGGGGGCCATGTCCCCAGCCTGCCCACTGCCCTGGCTGCCTCACAGGCCCCTCCTGATCCCCTGTGCACTGAGACAGTGGACGCAGCCCCTGGCCAGCCGCAGCCTCGCTCCCCTGCCCTGAGGCCTGGCCACGTCTCTCCCCAGTCTCCCGGAAGCTCTGCAGCCTGGACAACGGGGACTGTGACCAGTTCTGCCGTGAGGAGCAGAACTCGGTGGTGTGCTCCTGCGCCCGCGGCTACACCCTGGGTGACGACGGCAAGTCCTGCGTCTCCACAGGTAGGCGCCGTCCACGTCCGCTCGCTTTCCTCCTGGGGCAGAGGGCTGGGTGCACGCCCCGCTGCCGGTGTGAGGCCTGGAGGGGGACCCCGCAGCTCCGGCGGACTGCAGCAGTGGCCCTGGTCTCTAGGGAGGTGGCAGGCCCAAGTGACGGCCGGCAGGGCGAGAGCAGAGCTGGGAGAGCAGCAGGGGCCGGGTAGACCGGGCCGCGTGGAGCTTCGAGCTCGCTCTTCTTTTACCTGGTGGAGGCTGGTGCCCACAGCCTGGCAGGAAGTCACCCGACAGCGGGCCAGCTGGGCGCCTGGGCCTCAGCTACTGGGGCTGCATCTGCCCAAGGGCCGGCTCAGGCCAGGGTTCCGCCCTCGCTCCACCGCCTGTGGTGACCCCAGCCCACGTCCCGGCTGCTGTCCCGGGCTGCCCCAGCAGCACGGGAGTGGGTCTGAGCCTCGCAGCGCACACGGGGCACAGACACGCACTTGTCACTTGGCTTCTCACTGAAGACAGGCCTTGGAGGACGGGGAGTTGAGGGAAAAGCCAGTTCCAAACCCACCTGCATGTCTACCTCAGCTACACAGCAGAGGCTCAACCTGAGGAGAGTGCCACTCACTGTCCCCCGGATCCAGAGCTTACGCTGCTCCAGACGTGGGCTTTCTTTATTAGCCAGGGGGCGTGTGGCTCTCCAGAGAGAGCAAGGGAGGCAGAGACGGGGGGAGGAAGCAGCCCCAGTGGGGCATGTTGACGCTGCAATCCCTTCTCCCCTTCCCTCCTGTTGGGGTCCGGGGCACACAGGCCCAACAAGCCGTCCAAACAGCCAGGCGAAGGCCCCAACCATGCAGTCGGCCATGTGGGGTCGGGATCCCTGGACCACTAGGCCACAGAGCCAGCCCCAAAATATTTTCACTGAAGTTATTTTTTGACATTTGTGCGATTTTTTTATTCTAGGAGTGGTCACAAACTCGTTTACTAGACCACTGGGAAAGCCATGATGTAGTTTTCTGTTGTTTTATGCAAAAATGTACCACAATGTTCCCAGTGGCCCAGCTGAATATAGCGCGGCCTGGCCAATTCGGGGAGCTCCCTAGTGCTGAAGTTCTGCTCCCTCCATGAGCCAGCTGCTGCGGTCTCCAAGGTGGGGCTGCGAACATGAACCCCAAGCCCACAGACACGGCAGGGCACTTGCCTGGAGCCAGCTCGAGGGCCTCGGAGCCGAGGGCCACGCGCCCGCTCTCTGGGCCTTGGTCCCTGGCGGGGTTAGACAGGGAGGGTCTCAGAGGAGCAGTGTCTTCCAGAGAGGAACTCAGGTGGGCACAGCTCCCAGCCTGCGAGCTGTGGCCGGGGCCCCAGGCTGCCCGCTCATGCTGTTCCTTCCACCCACAAGCTCTTTCCTTCTGCTTCCTTGGGAGGTTTTCTCTTCTTTTTCAGTTAATTAATGAATTAATTCTTTATCATCACACACATTATTATCAGCAGACAGTTCTCCATTTCCGTACCCATTAAATGTTTTGCCTTTCCCCGTTGATGCCCCCACTGCCCCCCTTCTCCTGCACTGTTTGGTATTTTTATTATTTTTTAAATTTCAAGAAAAGTTGTTTTGCTTTAATGAATCAAAATCTAAAAAAGTTAAGAAAAATTTGCTTAAGACTTGCAGCCAGGAAACAGGCTAGGATTGTGCCCAAACAGTAGGCAGATAATACAACAAGCATGGGCGGGACTAGAACCTCAGCAGGTGCGCTGCAGGTTTCTTCTGAAACACTTTTCTTGTCTCCATTCCTCCTTTTACCAAAGAGAAGCACAAACTAATTTATTTGCAAAAAAGTACGTTTAGTCTCAATTTGTTCTGTTATTTGCCCATAGCCCAATAAGGCTACTCGTTACTTCAGTTGGCTTCACTGGAACCTTTTATAAGGAACTTCAGATTAGACTCTTTAAAAAGCCTCCCAAAGGGACCAGCAGTTGGTGTAATGGCTATGTCGCTGGACTTCCATGTAGTCGACCGTGGTTCGTGTCACGGACCCGGAGGCTTAAACTCACGTGTGCGCGCGTGCCCAAGATCCCGAGAACAAAATAGAGGAGAAGGGATTGCGGTGTAGCCATCCCCCCTGGGGGGTGATTTCTCGCTTTCTGTCTCTCTGTCTCTCTCTGTCTGTCTGGTGAGCGCACGTGCCCTACGGCAAAAAACTCTCAAAAAAAAAAAAAGAAAGGAAAGAAAAGGCCTCCCCAGGCACTGAGCACAGTCAGGGATCCACCTCCCACTGTCCACCGTGCCTTTACGCACCTGTACCTGGAAGTTTGGGGCTGTCAGGAAGAGACGTTCTTCACTTACCTGCCGGGCAGAACTGCTTGTGGTACCAGGCAATCTTTCCAAGAGCTTTTGTTAGCTTTCTTGAGATCAGCCGTCATTTCTTGGCTTTCTGGTCACATCTCCAGATATGACATGCCAGTCAAAGGCCTGCAATAACCAGTGTTTCCCATTTCTGATGCCAGGCGACGGGTATTATTGGACTTAAGAAATAACCGCGCTGCCGCAGCATAAGAATACTTACACTTTCCATTCTGGAGGCGTCAGGAAGGGAGAAAAGTTTATGAAGTTTATGTTTCAATTCTGGTTTGTGTGTGTTTTGTTTGTTTTGTTTTGTTTCTTTTTTTAATTTAGCAAATTGCTGAACTTAGGGTGGAAGCTGAGCAGCAAAATGAGAAAGTTAAGATAGAAGAATAAGAGAATATAAGAAGGAAAAAAGGAAAGCAAACAAATAAACAAAAAGAAAGAAACAAAAGGAGCAAAGCACCTCAGATAAAAGAAAGGATAAAAAAACCCAAGAGGCGGGTGGGGGGAATGAGAAGGGAAAGAAACGGCTTTTCCTCCTACCTTTCTAGCTATGACCACGGAGGTGAGTTGGGAGAGGGGGCCTGCAACTCGGGGCTGCTCAGCCCTCACGCTGGTCCGGAAGTGAGCAGAGCACCTCGGGCGTAGAAGTCTCCCTGCAAAGCCCCTGTCCTGTGTGGAGGGTGGTTTCAAACATAGAGCAAAACTGGCATTGCTTTCCTGTGAGCCCCGCCTGCCCCTGCCTGCAGGCAGCCCGGCACTGCGCCCTGGGCCAAGCCGTCACTGTCGCCTGCTGCACTGTCTCCACCTCGCCCACCCTCTGTCCCCGCCACCATCTCACCTCCAAATAACCTGCAGGCTTCCATGTGCTCCACTCGTACCTGCTGACATGTAGACCTCAGCACAGCCTGGGAGCGCAGCCCTGCCCGACATGGGGTCGCCCCCGCCGCCCTGCCCTCCCATCTCTGTCTCTGCCTCCCTGGGGAGCACTAGGGCTCTCGCCCTGCTGACAGCATGGGTGCTCTCTCCCCCAGAGCCTTTCCCCTGTGGGAAACAGATTCTCGGACGCAGGAAGAGGTCAGCGGCCCAGGCCACCAACAGCAGTGGGGATCCCCCCGAGACCTCCACGGTGACTTGGGACAACCCAGATGGCCTGACCCCCACGAGGGGCACCCTCGACCTGCTCAACTCGGGCCAGCCGTACCCAGAGGGGGACTACAGCAACATCATCCGGATGGCCGCGAGTGCCAAGATGGGGAGTGCCCCTGGCAGGTAAGCATGGCAGCCGGTAAGACCCGCCTGGCTGCATTCTGCGAGCAAGAGGGACCCGCCATGCTGTCAGGGAAGGGCACGGTTCCAGCCAGAATGGAGGGCCCTCCGTCTGGGGACACCCGGCGTCCCCTCCCTCTGGCCTCAGAGGGTGAGGGGCCTGGGAGGAGCCCGGACTCCTGCTCTCCGGGCCTACCAGCCAGCATCTCTCCCGAGCATGGTCCTGCGCCCAGAGCGAGGCTGTCCCAAGAAGGACGTGTCCCAAGAGGACAAGACGGAGCACGCCCTCGTGTGTCCTGAAGCAGAGCACATTCTGAGGGTGGGGAGGGGACAGGACCCAGAGGTGCCTGGGCAGGAAGACCCCTCCTGCTGCTCCTTTCCCTGGGCCGAGAAGGGTGCATGGTCAGAGGGAGCAGCCCACCTCCACGCTGGGCTCAAGGTGCCAGATTTAGCAAATGAAAGCACAGCACGGACCAGCAGGTGGCGCCGTGGTGAAGGTGCTCGATGCCCACATGGCCGACTCCCGGCCCTGGCAGCTGGAATCACACGAGCACGTGTGTGCGCGCTCAAAATCCTGAGAGGAGAATGGAGGAGCAGG